CATGTCTGCATCCCTTTTTCCCTAGTCGCTGTTCTTTTTTGCAATCCGTTTCTACTGTCACTTTGCCTTCCCCAATTGTCCTCCGTCCTATAATGCAATCCATGTAGTATCTAAATATCATTATGAGATCTTATATCATCATCATCAGTCAGCAAGACCTTTGAGGCACCACGCTCTCGTCACCGCACGCCTGAAAGTCTCTCCTCCTTTAGTCCAGTGGTCGTCCATACCTCTAGCCCAGTGGGTATTCTTCCTCTAGCCCAGTGGTCTCCGGTCCTCTAGCCCAGTGGTCTCCCGTCCTCTAGCCTAGTAGTCCCCCTTCTTTTAGCCCAGAGCTCTCCCTTCCTCTAGCCCAGTGGTCTCGCTTCCTCTAGCCCAGTGGTCTTTCTTCCTCTACTCCAGTGGTCTCCCTTTCTCTAGCCCAGTGGTCTCCCTTTCTCTAGCTCAGTGGTCTCCCTTTCTCTAGCCCAGTGGTATACCCTCTTTTAGCCCAGTGGTCTCCCTTTCTCTAGCCCAGTGGTCTCCCTTTCTCTAGCCCAGTGGTCTCCCTTCATCTAACCCAGCTTTCTTCTTCTTCTTCTTCTGCCTTTCTATCCCCCAATGGAGCCTAGGCCCTCAACCAACTCACGCCAAGTCGTTCTATCCTTCGCCATTACATAGAGCTCTCCCCATGTCCTCCCAATCTTTCTAACCTCATTCTCCGCTCTCTTCTCCATGTGTTTTTTGGCCTTCCTTTATTCCAATGCCCCTGTGGGTTCCAATACAAAGACATTCTAGTTATACTGTTCTCCTGTTTTCTCAGTGTGTGCCCTATCCAACGCCAGCGTCTTTTCCTCACCTCCTGATCCACTGGAACCTGTTTAGTTCTCTCCCAAAGTTCTACATTAGTTATTCTATCATACCATTTTATTCCCTCTATTCTGCGCAGGCACCAGTTAATGAATGTCTGTAATTTATTAGTAATTGCCTTGGTTGTTTTCCATGTTTCCGCCCCATACAATAGTACTGATTTGACATTAGAATTAAAAATTTTTAGTTTAGTATTTCTTTTAAATTCTTTTGGCCTCCACAAATTCCCTAGTGTTATGAAAGCCCCTCTTGCCTTTTGTATTCTTATTTTAATATCTCTATCAGTTCCTCCATCTTTATCTACATTACTGCCTAAATAGGTGTACGACTCCATGTCTTGGAGTGGGGTGCCATTAAGAGAAACCACATTACTATTTGCCTGATTTATTCTCATTATCTTTGTCTTTCCTTTATGGATTTTCAGACCAAGCTGCTGTGATCTCGCATTAAGTATATTTAATTTATCTTGTATCTGATTCCGTGAATGGGACAGAAGGGCAATATCATCAGCGAAGTCCAGATCATCAAGCTGTTTTGTAGGGGTCCACTGAATTCCATTCTTGGTGTTAGCAGTTACTGTTTTCATAGTCCAGTCTATAGCCAGTAAAAATAAGAGAGGCAACAAAAGACATCCCTGTCGCACACCTGTTTTTATTTCAAATGCATCTGTTAGCTTTCCCTCATGAAGAACTCGACATTTCATGTCTTTATATGTTGCCTTTACTAAGTTAATAATTTTCTGTGGGATTCCACAGTGCCCCATCAATTTCCAGAGAGATTCCCTATCAATGCTGTCAAATGCTTTTTCATAGTCTATAAATCCAATGTAAAGTGGTGAGTTCAGTTCAATGCTTTGCTCTATTATAATACGTAATGTGGCTATCTGATCAGTACAGGATCTGTTTGACCGAAAACCTGCCTTAGCATTTTATCAATAGCATCTTTTAATCTTTCCAAAATAATTCTACTTTATATTTTTCCAGGAACTGACAGCAACATAATTCCTCTATAGTTTTCACACTCCTGTAGATCACCTTTTTTGGGCATTTTCACAAGATATCCTTCTCTCCAGTCTGCTGGTATTTCTTCGGTCTCCCAGACTTTACTGAATAATCTATGTAGCAATTCTGTTGATGTGTTTATGTTGGTCCTGATGGCTTCAGCTGGGATACCATCTGGGCCTGACGCCTTTCCTTCCTTAAGAAGATTTATAGCTTTTCTAATTTCCTCTATGGATGGTATCTCACAGTTGATATCCAGTTCCATTTCTAAAGGCTTTATATCTGGGTGAACCTCTGGGCCTGGTCTATTTAGAAGCATTTCAAAATATTCAACCCATCTGTCCATTTGATCTTTAGTGTTAGTAAGTACCTTTCCTTGACTATTTTTGATTGATCCAGTTGGCTCACTATATTTACATACTAATTTTCTTGTGTTACTGTGAAGTTCTCTGAGGTTTCCTTTTGCTACTGCTGTCTCCGCTTCTTGTGCTAGATCATTTAGATATTTCACTTTATCTGCCCTTATATGCCTCTTAACTTCCTTGTTGGCTTCTGTGTAATTCTCCTGAACTCTAGCTTTAGCAGCTCTAGTTTTGCTATTGTTTAATTCTGCCTTTTTACTTTTCCTATCTTCAATCAGTTTAATGGTTTCTGGTGTTATCCATGCTTTATGTTTCCTTTCTTTCTTGCCAAGAACTTCTACGCAAGATTCATTCCAGATTCCTTTGATCTGATCCCAGCAGACTTCTGTGTTGACATCTTCAGCTAACTGCTGCAACACCTGGTACTTATTAGAGACCGTAACTGAGAACTGTTCCTTAATTTATTTA